ACTTTAGAGTTTAGACTTTAGTTACACAGGCAGGCAACACGCATTTATTTTCGTTCTTTTTCCCAAGTTTTTTTTTTACATCACAAATTCACAATTCACAAGATTCGCAGCAAATACGCACGGGTCTTTTTCCCTTTGTTAACCCTAACCCCAGTTCTGCACTCTCATTTTCTCAAACACAGCCGACATTCATGTTTGAATATGTATTGGGTATGTTACAAAATCTGATCCTATTTGTTATCATTGAATTCAAGTTTTCTTTTCTTTTTTTTTTTTCTTTTTTTTTTCTCCCAGCTTTTGCTTTCCTAATTTGTTTTGTAATTTTTTATATTAATTATATATTACTATGAATTGAGGCCCTGCTCTGCTCCAGTTTTGTCCAGGTTTTTGATCCTATTTTTTTTTATCTTACAGGATTAGTTTTTGATCCTATTTTTTTTTATCTTACAGGATTAGTATATGTGTCTCTATTAATGAAATGTAATGTTCTTTGATAATAGTATATGTGTCCTCTATTAATGAAATGTACTATTATTTGTTACCAGGCAAAGCTTCCGTCCCCAAGAGAAAACGTGGTCAAACAATGGGTAAGGGACTTATGAAAGCATTTGATGCCACTGGAAAGAAATTGAAGGTAGATGTGGATCCACTGACAGGACGACCCAAAAGTCGAGAGCAATCTGCAAAGCTCTCAAGTCAAATTGGTGTAGTAGCTCGAGATGTCCTTCGAGTGCCAAGAAAATGGAAAGAAATGGCTGAAGAAAAATTTTTGGAACCAGACATTGATCATATAAAGGTAACTATAAAAATAATAATAAAAATGACATGTTTTTTTTTTGGTATATGTAAAAGTATGTTAAATGTGATGATCAGATTCATATGGATGTCAACTTGGATGCACCGGGTGTGAGGCACTGCTTGGTTGATAGGATGAAATCTAGTTCTCGACAAATTCGTTACAGGTTACATAAGCATTACAAGAAGTATGCAACCCTACAAGAGGCTAAGAATAATAAGCCACCATTTTGTGCTAGTAAAGAAAATTGGGACGAACTCTGTGATTATTTTGCATCAGCTAAGTTCAAGGTAATATCTCTTGAGATTGGTACTCTTATTGATATATTTTGGGATATTTCTTATGTTGCAATTTCTTGTTTTCAGCACCAAAGTTCAATTAACTCTATGAATCGACAAATGTTAAGGACCCCGCATATATCTGGCAGAACTCCTTTTTCTACACTTCAACATGAAATTGTAAGTTCCAAATATTGCAATTATGTTTTAAAAATATTTACATATTACGCCATGGAGAAATAATCATAATATTTTAATAGGTTCATATCTTGTACATTTTAATTTTTTTTTTTTAATTTGTGACTAGGCTCAAAAGAAGAATGCTACTGGAGATGCTAATGGAGATGTTAATGGAGATGTTGGCGACATAATTGAGTTCTACATACTCACACATTACACTAACAAGCATGGTTGGTCAAATAATGAGGCAAAAGAAAATTGGGTAATTCACACTTTCATATTGGTATTGGTATTGTTATTTTTTAGATATGCATGATATATATTTGTAATCCATGAGGAGTTGATGGTATCAAGGCGAGAAAAATAATGAGGAAATAGTTCACGAGGTGCTTGGTCCAAGATCCACTTATCTGAAGGGACTTGGTTATCAAACAAATCACTTAAATAAAGGTATTTTTGCTCCAGCCAACCAAAACTTTCAAAAGGAAAAGGAGCTTCAGGAAACTCGAGAAAAGCTACAAGCATCAGAATCACAAGTGAGTGAGCTCAAGGAAGAAGTCAGTGGCTTGAAGAACTTATTGGGCCAACAAGGTGCAGATATCGAAAAGCTTAAGGCATTCATGGCTTCCAAAGGAAGTACTTGAGGTAAATAATTGGATGTAAACAATGGGGCTCTTTTTTTTATTTTGTGAAAATATGCTTTGATAAATGCAAATTTATGTGCTGATTCAAATGTTTTATATTTACAGGTGATTGTTCTGTTTTGTTAATGGATGTTGATGGATGTTGATGGATTCACCAAGACTTTTCAGCAAAACTAGAAAATAAGCCTATGGATTTGGACGTTTCTTTCTTAAGTGTTTAATTAGTATTTTTCCCTTAATATTCCAAGTACTATTGTTTTAGTTTTCAATTATGAATATTTCATATAATTCCTTCTATATATACTCATTTATTTTTATTTCACCGAATATATTATGTCATTATCTAATTTACTGGCTAATTACAATATTAACATTATGAATTTTTGTGAAAATTTTCAATTGGTTACTAAAAGCAATCTTTCGTGACACAACGTTTGGTCAAATATTGTGGCATAAAATGGCCTATTTATGACTAATATTTTGTCACAATAAACTTCTTTCAAGTGACAATATATTTGTCATAGATATTCTTTGATTACGACTATTTTATAGTCATTATTTAGTGACAATTGTCTTTTGCGTCATATACTTTAATTTTTCATGATAGAATATATTATCACATTTTTATATGCATTTGATGACGATAAACACAATGTCATATAATACAATCTTTCTATGACTAAATATATTATCACCTTTAATTTATTCATCTGGTGACAATGAATATTTCATCATTAAAACATAATTTTAAGTGACATATTCGTTTGTCATTATAAATATTTTATTGGTGACAAATAATTTTTTGTAACCATAACACAACTCTTTTTTGTCATTATATGTTAATTTTAAGATGACGAAATCATACATGTTCGTCATATAAAGACTAACTTTTAGTGACAATATAGATAATTTTGTGACAAAAGTTTCATGATAAATGTGACAAATGAATCGTCACCAAGTCTCACAAAGGACAATGACAATTCTATTTTTTGTCACATAAAGGCTATCTTTTAGTGACACTATAGATAATTTGGTGACAAAAGTTTCATGATAAATGTGACACAGCAATCGTCACCAAATCTGACAAAGGTACAATGACAATACTATTTTTTGTCATATAAAGGCTATCTTTTAGTGACAATATAGATAATTTGGTGACAAATATTTTCATGATAAATGTGACATATCAATCGTCACCAAATCTCGTAAAGGTACAATGACAATAATATTTTTCGTCACAAATTCAAAACATTAGATGACAAACCTAAAAATTGTCATTTAGACCTAATATGATGCGGCTACAGTGACAAACTCTGTGACACTCAAAATTCGTCATCGAATATATTCGGTGACGAAAATTCACATTTTTATGAAAAATTTTTTTGTCATATTTTTGAAGAATTCTGTAGTGCCTGCAGGCGGATGTGTTATCCGGCATAATGATTAAGGATCACAGTGGTACTAGTTTCGGAAATGAATAAGAAGTTGATTAATCATTTTGTCAATAATTTAATTAATCGACGGACGTTGTATCTTAAACATGGGGAGATAAATCGATCAATAGGATTAATATATTTAATCAGTGGAGACGAGTTAATTGTAATTCAAAGCTATATGGAGAGAACAATAATATTACTCAAGTGGAATGTTTTATTATTTAATTCTAAGATTATGAATTAGGAATTAATTATATTCTATTTTTTAGATTCCATTAGGAGAGGAATATTCCTTCTAGAATATTACCTAGGGTTAGGAGACTATGGAGTCTTATAGAAGGTAATAAAGGTTGGGAGGAATAGGACTTCTAGATGGAAAAGGAGATGGAAGGTAATAAAGATTCCTAAACCTAAAAGAATAAGCCCATATTTAGCACCTCCTTTAGGTCCATATTGTAGCCTATAAATGTACAAGTCACCTAGCCTCTTGAACTAGAGACACACGTTTTTTTCTCCCCGAACGGCTGGAGAAATATGGCCTCTTCAAGTGAGAAAGAAATAGGGAGATTCTTCTTCCAGAGAAAATTCGGTTAGCACCGTAAGGTCTTAGAAGAAGATGATCGAGAAGCTTTGGGAAATCTAATAAATCGCTCCACCAAGATTTATTAGAGATCGTGTAAAGGTCATACAATAGAAGATTCGAAGGTTGTTATTTGTATCCCGTTGAATATATATATCCGTTCATCCCATCGAATATATTCATCCCCACAGCACCTCCGATGGCCACCAAATCAGGAGAGAAGGTTCACCGGAGCAATAGGAGATCGCCGGCATAATTCCGACGACCAGCCGCCATCGGATGCGCCTGAGCGTCGCTACACGCGCTCGCACGCACCGCCCCAGCACCCCCTGGGCACGGTCGCGCAGACAGACGCCCGCCCGCACACCACCGCGCACGCCAGTACCGCAGTCCAGTGCCGTCTCGCACGACAGCGTCCATCGTGCGCCACCGTGCGTGCCTGCATGCATTCTTCACGTGCGCCCAACAGACGACCTTCGTCCACGCCCATGAGTCCCGTCACGCGAGATGTACGCGCGCGCCAGTCCTCGTCCACCGAGGAGACGTGCCGCGCACGTCCGCCAGCGTCCCAGTCCACACAGGAGTAGGAGTACCTCGCGCGCGCTGCACGCACGCGTTGTGCATGCTCCCCCATCCCGTGCACCCGTGCACCAGCAGCCTGGCAGTGTGCATCCCTCGGCCCAGCGTGCACGAGCCATGCCCTGCGAGCCCAGTTCGGCCCAGACCATACCATACCCAGCCCGACCCGACCCAGTCCAGTCCACCCATTGGATTTTGGTGTTCAGACGATCTCATCAACCGAAATAAAAAACGTCTCAGAGTAGGCAAAATTGTTTAAACCGTAAGTCCTAATCCTAACTATAGATTCCGCTGCGTTAGGATTTATTATTCAATAGATTTGAATGTGCACATTACCGACGTTCCTAATAGAACCCAACAGCTGGTATTAGAGCCCAGGCTAATTCGTCTTTGTTCACTATTCGAATTAGGACTTGCGTGATATATGTGAATGAATTGTGTACAGATGCAACACATAATAGATTAGAATTGCAAATAAGTGTGTTTGCAGGTATTCTTGAATCCGACTATTATGGCCCTCATGTATGTTTGTTTTTTAATTCATGTATGTCGTTTTGTAAGCCTTAGACATGTCGATTTTTTGGGTTGGTGAATGCTTGTGATAATTTATTCGCGTGGTGGGACACCACATAGTCTAAATGCTTTACTAGATCATTCATGTATGACCCCTGCGTGGGCCATAGGATCAATGTATGTAATTGATATTATGTAATTGTTCGTTGGACCCGGTAAGCGCGGACATCTCTCGACAAGACGAGGCAGGCTACCCCGCGAACCCGTAGTTGATGGGATACGTGGTACTGTGCAAATGCAGACATACTCGTAGGCAGCTTACTGTCAGATACGAGCATTGTAAGGTGTTTGCAGACGGATACGCACAGACCCAGGTCGACAGAAGTACGAGCGACGACGGCAGTAGACACACGCCAACGAAGGAGACCCGATGGCGACTTTCCCGATGACGACTTGTTCAAGATGAAAAATGAGAGTCACGGCGAAAAAGGAAATTCCAAGTCCTGAATCGGAAGACCCAGTTCAACAAGGACAAGATTGTGTTTCCTGAAAGATTGGAGATTGATTAAATAGCCATGATAGTTGGATCTTAGTTCCTCGTTTATTATTGCTTTTTAATATGCATGTCCTTATTGTGATTTAATTGCTCTATGTGAAAATTGAATTATTAGGAGCATGTTTAGGAAAATCCAGTTAAACTAAAAATTATATTAAGTGTGTAATAGGTTGAAATAAATAACATCCAAGGTCTCCATTATAGGTTGTCAGTGAAGTGATTTTTAAATCGAGCCCAAAGGACGTTTTATTTCACAGTTCACAAGGACGAATCTCCTTCGGGATGGTTATAGTGAGCTATTTCAAAAGCGTACGGGTCACCCAAAGGTGGACATATAATTTTGGTAGTAAACTTAGGACCAATTAATGGGTTACGCTTAAAGTGAAAATAATTACGATATTCCCACAGAAAAAGGTCGTTTTTATAGAAAAAGGTCGTTTTTATTCTTTTATAAGTTAATTGCGCTGGCCAAAAGTTCAACCGATTATTAATTAAGTATTGTTTGGCAGTACGTTAAGCTAATGGGATTTATCCCTCTTCTTGTGACGGTTGAACCGTAGACGTCCACACTCCGTGGCCTGCGGGGATTCGGTGTTTTGAGGTGCCGGTGAATTTATTCAAATGTTGTTTTGAATGGATTAATGTTTGATGATTCAAAAACACTTGACTAACTAAAGACTATGCTTGCATGATCCCAGGAATTCAAAATGTCTTTTTAATCCGATGTCCGTAATACTCAAAGATAATTTACTTGTTCAAACATGATTAGAAATAGAACTTGGATAGTGTATTATTGTTTTGCTGAAGAATACAAGTCGAATGACATGTGTATCTGGTCTAAGCGAAATAGACATAGAAAGATGAACTATCCTATCCTTATTACAAGAAAGGTAAATCTTATTCACTGGGAAGTCGAAGCATTTTAAGTGGTGTTATCTATCAGTGTCTGGTATATAGATACGTAACCACTAATTATGTAAAAAGGTTTTAGTGAACCAGTCGACATGTGAAGGTTGGATTACCATCTAGAATGGGCTAGCTACGGAAGTAGCAACTATTGCAGTGGGAGCTATCTTTTAAATAGAATTTTTGGTTAATTGAGTAATTGTCATTTCGTGCCAAGTTTTAGAAAGAATTCGTGTTCAGTTTCTAAATTGTGTATGGATAAAAACGTGATGTTTTATCTATTTGGTACGTGGGTAGACGATATGCTCAGTAAACCAATATGTCTCACAGTGCAGTAGATGAAATAAGTAACACGTCAACTATAACCAATAAAAAGAAAGGCCCTTCAATAAATGAATCATTACATTAATTTGGCATCTAGTGTTTGGGATTTTAGTATTAGTAGAATTCAAAGGTGGATAGCCATTGAACTCATGGGTTCTTTGGGAATGAATGAAACTATCAGACCTGCGAATTATACTTGGTAGCTAAAATCACAAAAAATGACCTTTTGAAG